ATACATATATATATATATATAATTCTCAGAAATATTATATTATTTGCTATTTTTGACCGATATATCATCGATATAACCGAAATATCGAATATCGGTCCTGACCGATATTTTGTATTTTGACCGCAGTAACAACATAGCCCTTAAGAAACAACATATCGTTTTGTCCGAGTATTGTGTAGTGACAGCTTTTACTGTTGAAAGACCTATAGGCAATGTCTCTTCTGCGAGTTCGACCCACTTCATGGCAAACTGATTGGATACATTGTGATGAGTCAATTAATATAAGTAAAAAGATCAAGCATTTCGCCAGAAACCGAATCACAATAGAGTTCTATTCATCCTGCATGGAATCACATTGTGGTTACAACAATTGTCCTATCCATCTTGTCATATATGGGACAGGTACCTGTTAAGACAAAAGGTCTTGGATTTTGAATTTATCTATGCCACGTTGGGCATGATCTGTATCTATAGTCAAACTTGAGGAGTATTGGTAGATGATATTTCCATTCTGTGTGTTGTGTTCTTCAGCTTGTTTTTCTTAATATGATATTTTTGGCCTATGAGCTCATTTTGTATATACGTGGTATTGTTGTTTCCTTGGTGATAGATATTGCGTCATACCCTAAGTCTCCACAGTCCCAAAGCTTAACATGTCTGTCTATTTTAGGTACACTACCACTTAGATCTAGGATGTGATAATGAAGGGAAATAGAGCGAGTAAGAAGAGGGAAGAATGACTTATGCCACAAGAACCGAGCTCAGTAATCTACTGAAACCAAGTCTCCTGTTATGCTGTCTAAAAGACTATCTTTTTGATGGATTCATGTGTCAATATATCTGATCATAGAACATTCTGGAGGTTAACAGCTGGTAGAATAAGGAAAAAAATTATATAAAGCAGACCTAAATACCTTCGTAATAATATTCTAACTAATAAATCTACCAATAATATATGCAAGTTTATATCTTTGAATAATATTGCATCACTTGATATTGGCTTTTAAGAATATCCATTATTGCCCTAGTGTTTCTTACGCTCTAAATATGCATATCATCAGAAAGTTCTCCCATTTTCATTGAACATTATATTCTTGTTTAAGAGCTTGAGTGTCTATTATGATACCAGAATGTAATTGAATGGAACCCTTCTCCATCGTACTAGGTGGATTCGAATTTAATGTCCTGAGTTCAAATTGCCGAGTGCGTGGGTCAGAAGCATGGTTGAACAGTCATCTGGGGAACTTTGTTTCTCGTACATTTCATCATCAAATCTGTTTATATTAGTACCCTGTGTCACTTTCTTATTGCAAAAAAAGAAGAAAACTTCCAAGAAGGTTCTTGGTTATCTTAATGTAAGCCTAAGGAAGGATGAGAAACAAATGGTACGGTGCAGCTGCATGAATCATGATTCTTGACTGGTTCTAACATTCATCTTCTTCATAGGTGACAGATAAGGTTTTGCTCAAGGAAGTCATGAGTGGTTCCATGAGTAACAAGGATGGCAGAGTCAAGGAAGATGGCTGTATATACATGGTACTTGAGTATGGTGAAATTGATTTAGCTCACATGTTGTCCCAGAAGTGGAGGGAACTGGACAGTTCCAAGTCAACCATAGATGAGAACTGGCTTCGTTTTTACTGGCAGGTGTCTATCAATACCTTGAATGCCTCATTTTTTTTAAATTGTAGCTTCTCAACTATTTTCATATGGTAGGGAAGCTCTATGGATCCTTTTAGACTGACTAGGTGCCACGAGTGTATAAATATCAAAATTACAGCTAAAAGTGTACAGAGTAGACCATTGATAGTTCTTAGATACTGCTTTATTATGTTGTTGATATGTATGGTAGCTGATCAATGCAGGTTTGATGACATGCTTTTGTCCCAGAAAAACGTCACAGCTGACTTTTTTGAGAATCAAATGCATCACTTTTAGTTTTAAAATTAATAAGAAATAAGAATTTGTTCTGGTTGTAGGTAAAAAATTGATAGTTCTTTGATTGGAGAAAAGTGGTAATTTCATGTGGTGTTTGTTGTTAAGTTCAACTGCAGGGATGCTAGTTATATATAATATGATGGAATATGTAGGACTTGATCTTGCCTTAGATTGTTTTGTACCTTTAGTGTGTTGCAAACTATAAACACCGTTCTTATTGCTAAGAGCATATTACTTGTGTTACAATTGTACTTTTGACATTTTGTATTAGGGGTAGGCTAAATGCACCCCTATATATTGCTAAATGCACCATACCTATTAATTTCCTCCTCACACACACACCAATGTCAAGACTTATTTTTTATATCTTCAATATATAATTTGATCTCATTCTGACATAAAAAGGGATACATAGAGCAACATGGTTTATATCATTGGAAAAATCCATGTACTTGCAAAATGTGAAAATTTGTAACCATTGTACACCACTTGTACTTTATTTTAACAGTAAAAATGTTACCATTGTACCTTACAAAATTTGGGAAAATACATTCATGTATTTGCAAGTACAGTTTTTTTCTTTTGGGATTAATACGTGTATGATAGGTGTTCTGATGCAAAGTATCAAGCACAAATGCTTTAAAAGTAATGCAATCCTTTTGCTATCAAATTGTAAACCTTGCTTGATAGTCTGGTTTATGTTGTTATTTTCCAATAATGATATGGGTAAGTTTGTTTTTTCTTGGTACCATGGAAAAATATGCATGTTTAGTCTTTTTATGAGATTGATTTGGCAGAGTTCATACATTATAAATCAGCATGCGTTAATTTTATTCATGATTGACCATGCAAATAATGTAATGTATACATCTTTTTTTGAACAAATGTCAGCAAATACTTTTAGCTGTTAAAACCATACACGAGGAACGTATTGTGCACTCGGACTTGAAGCCAGCTAATTTTCTCCTTGTCAGAGGCTCGCTGAAACTAATTGATTTTGGTATTGCAAAAGCTATTTTGAGCGACACCACAAACATTCAACGAGATTCTCAGGTTTAGTTAGTTACCTTTGCCAATTGTTTCGTATTAATAGATTAGGGGCACATTCATTTGGGACTTGTAAATATTTTGATACTGTGAGAACCAGTTATTCATGATGAATATGGTGATAGATTTTTATGAGAGAGATATATATATATATATTATGAATGATGAAAACGCACGAATATTCATGAATATTTAGGTATATTCATCATGAATAATTCATGAATGGTTGGTTCTCACGGTTCTCAAGGTAATTACAGTTCCTAAATGATATTTGGCAAGATAACCGAGTTACATGTTTCATTTGCAGGTGGGTACGCTGAGTTACATGTCCCCTGAGGCATTCATGTGCAACGAAACAGATGCAAATGGAAATACCATCAAGTGTGGTCGTCCATCGGATATTTGGTCACTTGGTTGCATCCTGTACCAAATGGTATATGGAAGAACGCCCTTTGCAGACTACACAACTTTTTGGGCGAAATTCAAAGTCATTACAGATCCAAATTACGAAATCCCTTATGAACCACTATCGAATCTTTGGCTTCTTGATCTAATAAAGAAATGCCTTTCATGGGATCGAAAGGAAAGATGGACAATTCCGCAACTTCTTCAACATCCTTTCCTGGTTCCTCCGATTCCACCTCGGGTATCTAATGATCACCGTAATCTTATTCATTTGGTTGCTGATTCTTGCAGCGAAGATCCAAAAGCAAAAATGCTATGTTCCCAACTCCAACAGTTGGTAAGTGACCCGGTACCAGATATAAAATCTGGAAGTTCAATTACAATAGATGAAAGATGTAGATTGCTTGATGAAATGTCGAAGCTCTGTTTGCAACTCAAGAAACGACTCGAAATGTGATTAATGGAGGTAATGGCGAATTCTATTGGTTCTGTGTGTACAAGTTTGTATTTTGTGATTATGGAGTATGGTTAGGTGGATGTTGTGTTGATCATGTATTATCAAACAATTTGATGTTGAAAAAAGATGAAGATCTCGCACACTTTTGTCGTTTTTCGATATTTTCAGTTCCAAAGGATATGGGCTATTTAGTTAAATGACCTCATGACAAGTGTTTTTTTTGGAAATCCACGACCTTTTTACAGCTTTTTAAGCATTCTTGTATATGTGGAAGTGTTAAACAAGATATCTCTCACAGATGTTAAAAGGGCGTGGATTTAAAAGATCTGTCATGAGGTCATTTAACCTAATGACCCCCCTCCTTTTGTGTTTGCAATGTAAATCCTTGACTTTGTATGAGATCATTTTTTCTTTAATACATCAGGAGGTTACGAATTTAATTAAAATCTCATTCAAGGTTATATATTTATTTGCAATGAAGGTATTTTTGATGTTATCTGTCATGAATGGGATTTAACGGATGAATGGGTAAATTGATGAATACAGTAAACAATCTAGACAACGAAAAAATAATCATATCTCAAGTTCGATTTATTGCCAAAAAACTAAATGAAGATGTGTATTCCTCATGTGAACAAAAGATATTGTGTATGTGTGTGYGCGTGTATGGGGACTATAACATTTGTAATGTATCGATGAGAAGGAAAACTTTCTTCCGGAGAAGCACCAATTGATCTTGCATTTCCGAAAATTCACTCCTCATAATCCTTTCGGTATCTTGAATGACGGTCTCATTTACGCCTTCTTCCAATAATCGCTCCCTTAACTTTTCTGTGGAAACCCTTGCCGGATTCATCAATTCACTGTTCGACATTCGTGGGAACATCCGCTTGACTGCCTGTAAAGCTTCCAGCCATTCCGTTTGATCTTCTTGAGTCTTGGCCTTCAAATGCAGCCTTTTTGTGCCGGTAAATATCGAAAACCGTCTATCGTCTGATCTACTTTCCTGAATAGACGATACCTAAAAGGAAATACAAGAAACTCTCATTCTGCCGGTTGAATGACCTCACAATTTTATTTTAAATTCATGACCTTATAATAAGTTTCAGAATGCCACTTTCATACACAAAAACGACATTAAATTTGTGAGAAGGTTATGTGTACAAAAATGACATTCTGACAGGTTTTTAGGCATTTATGTGTAGGAAAACGGTTTCTTGACATTCTGAAAACTGTCAAAAAGTCGTGTATTTTAAAAGACTAATCGATTCGATAGAATATGATTCAACACCTTGAGGTGAAGTTCACCAAGCGGCTTCCGGTGGAGGTGATGAGGGTTAACGTGGCGGCGATTATGAGACAAACGGCTGCCTATCACCCGACAGCCTTTATCGGTTTCTTTCGTGATAACGGTTTTATCGGGGCCATGAACATTATAATAGGAAAGAACACCATCTTGTAGAACAAACCATCGTGGTCGCCAGCCTTTAGCACAATTAACCCACTTGAGCAAGATCCCTGATACCCTCATTGTAGCTGCAATATCACCGGAAACCGTCGTTGGTGGCGGTGCAACATGATTAGAAAGGACATGGCGGTTGTTGACGACGGTGGAAGTGGAGGGATGAGGTGGCAATGTCATGATCACTTGTTAGAATATTTATGCATGAATTAATGTGTGAGAAATTAAGAAATGGTAAGAGATCGGAAAAGTGGAGAAATTCGTATTCTGATCGGAGAGACCGAGTAGAAGGATTAATGTTTTAAATGTTACGATAGATTCAATCGACCAACTTTTCAAAAAATAACAACCGCTAATAATTTATGTAGGATGTGTTCTCGTGGTCCTAAAAAATCTATTTATTTTTCTTATTTTCTCTTTAAATTGGAACAAAAAACACGTGTATATATATATATATATATATATATATATATATTTGATTAACCTGGATATCCAACCCGCAATGCGAACCGACTAAACCCATGACGACCACTTGCTTTGCAGATAGCCCAAAGTCACTGTATTTAAACCTCCGTAGCCACAAATATTTTATTTTTGTTTATTGGACTCTTGTAACGGGTGTATATAAGTGGGTATACCTTCAATTATATTCATGGTGCCTATGTGACTACTCATGTATAAATATCCATTACATCACATACACTTGGTTTATTTGATTATATGCATAATGCACGACTACAGACATCGTGGTCATTAATATATTCATATGTGAATATACAACTATTTAAAAAAAAAAAAAAACCCTCTCTTTGTTATATTGTGGTTTGGGTATTATCCTTTCATGGGTTATCACAATTTGACTTATGTGAGTGAATATGCAGTACATGTCATTCATCAGCTAATTTACATCTGCCCAAGGGTATATTCATATATGAATATGCACTCTTTGAATTTTATCCATAGTTCAGTCAACCTTTGAACTTAACTACTAAAAAGATTACATCGAACATCAATTCATTTAAGCCATATTCACACATTAGAGCCAATAACAATTTAATAGAGAAACAAACAAAGCATGCACCAACAACTACCACCATGTAGAAAACAGATTTGCAACATTTGGTAATTGGGAAGCGGTGTTTAGAATCAAATTCATTCAGAAGATTTATATAAGAAGAGGAGAGACAGGCGATTGAGATTTCAATTCCAGATTGTATATAAGAAAAGCAAGATCCTGCAATGGAGAGGATAATGACTGAAACCTGGTTAATTATAGCATTCTAGATTGATTATAATCCATCTGTAAAATATACAACATTTCATATGCCCATCAATAATAAATCACTTCTATGAAATGGAACCTCAATTGTCTTTACTCAAAGCAGCTGCTAACTTTGTTTGGATGTGGTCGACTCCAGCACGTGGAGAAAATCTAGGAATTATTTCCTGAAACAACAAAACAGTTATCATCATTCCATTATGCTTCTCATAAACTCAAACCTAAAACCGATTACACCAAAGTTTTCAAGTCATCTGGAACCATTACTCATCATGTGATGGCTTTCTACACATGGAATTTGATACCAGAGATCAGAGTTGTGGGTTCTTTACTCATATTACTTGTATAGCATAAAAACAGTTCAACAGCTAATATCGGCCCATTGCGTATTTCACATCAATTTTGTATTTTTCTTTCTAAAGCAGACACAAAGTTCCCACTAAACACAATCTCTAACCATTAAAGACCTAGTTTTTTTCCTGAAAATGGCTACACTAAGAAATATGACCTTGGAACAAGATCAAAAATTGAGTTAGGATAGAGTATAGACGAATGAGAAGGGTCCTCAACCTGTAGGAGGCACACATGGAAAGAAGAAATAAAAACAAATGGTGGTGACTGATTGAAGAAATCATGAACACATAGAGTAAAGTGGCAAGTGCAGAATCTAGTGACAGTAACAGTTCCTCAAACTTATGCTTCCTCATGATCAGAGAGATGTCTCACAGGAAGTAAATGCATGATTTTCGGGATATCTAGGTTGACAGTTGACCCACCTGATTTTGAAGGTTCATCAGATCCGGATGATTTTGTTGAGTTGGTCCAAACCCTGGACAAAATCTTGGAAGCTAATGGGTATGATAAAAGAAAGACCTAAAGGTAGTTGTGATTAAGCTCAAGATGCATGATTCCTTGTGGTATGAGAATATGAAGCATGAGAAGCAACTTAAAGGCAAGAAGAGGGTCAAGACTCGGTCCCAAACTCAAAGAGTGCATGCCAAACAGGGAACCAAGAAGACTTTGGAATACATTTGAGAATTTGAACTGCACAAGACTTGTACCACTATGAGGAAGCTGAATTGCACACTATTGCTAGGTTGGGGGGCCTAAACTCTACCATGCTTAAAGGTTGAGTTGCAACCCCTCTAGACTTTTGAAGATGCTTGCAAGTGGGCTATCAAGGTAGAGAAACAAGCTAAGAAGAAAGTTCCTGAGAATCCCTATCTAAGCCTATGGATTCTTTGAAAACGCCACTTCTAAGAAGGCCGAATGAACCTCCAATTCTTCAAGGCCTCAACGGTAAGGAGAAAGTAGGAGAAGACCTAGCGAACCTGGGGTGTTTGGTTAGCAAGATTCTGGCAGAATCCGATGGAAAATTCCATTTGACTCGATTCCTATGGCTTGTTTGGTTTGCAAAATGGGTGAATTGAATTCCATTGGAATTAGCAAATTCCTTTGAGCGAAAGAATTGATCATTCCATTGGTTTTGTGGTGGAATTCAGTTCCATTCCTTCACAACTTTGTAATAGGACAAAAATTCCCATCGGTTAATGATAATAACAATATTACAAGTACTATTAACAATATTACAAGTACTATTAACGATATTATCATCATTAATATTAGAGTAAATTACAAATTTCGTCCCTGTTGTTATATGAAATTTTTTACTTGGTCCCCCAAACGAAATAACTACATGTGTAGTCATCATGGTTTCACTTTTGTCATGGATTGGATCCCTTGCTCTAACTTCGTTAACCTTAGTTCCGTTAAATCAGGGAAAGAAACACTTCAAATGTCATGTCATGAGCATTTCAAGGCCCAATATCCCAATCAAGATGTTCTTACATTGAAGAAGGTTTAAAACATGCAAAAGAATATTGAAACCAAAGAAGAGAGAACCTATCTATGATCGAGTCTAATGAAGAAGAGGTTGTAGGGGATGATTGTGGTAAAATGTTGGTGATTAGGAGAGTAATGCATACTGCAGAGGCTCCTAATGACAAGACTTGAAAGGGAGGACATCTTTATGTATGTAGTTTGATAGTGGATGGAGAAAGTTGTGCAAAAGCAACCTCAACATGTATGGTGGAAAAACTTGGGCTTTCTACATGAAACACCTACATCCATGCAAATTCCAATTGCTTAAATCAAGGCAATGAGATAAAAGTTACACACCAAGTAGTTATTCCTTTTCCAATTAGTTTCGTTAATCATGATGTGATGTTCAGATGGATGCTTGTCATTTCTTGTTGGGTAGGCCTTGGTTATTTTGATCGTATCACAATGGACACTTGAATACCTACTTTTTATGTGAGTGGCAAGAAAATCGCTCTCACTCCCTTGAAGTCTAATGAAGTGTCTAAAACCAAAGTAGGGACTAAAAGTGGAACGACTTTGTGCATGAGTCAAACCGAGGTGAAAGGAGAATCGTATAATGGTGCTGGCATGCTTGAGCATGATGAGGTGAAAGAGGGTTGTGACGTTCCTAGCATGGTTAAACCTTTGTTGGTCAAATTTGTTGATGTGTTTACGAACAACTTAACCCCAGGTTTACCTCCTATTAAGAAAAATCCGCACTAAATTGACTTCATTCTAAGTTCAATCCTTCCTAACAAAGCAACTTATAGGGATTCCCGCAATTGAAGCTGAGGAGTTACAAAGGCAAGTTAATGAATTGGCAGCCGGAGGATACGTGAAACCTAGCATGTGCCCTTTTCTTTTCCTGCTCTTTTGTTTCCCCAAAAGGAAGTTTCCATGCACATTTGCATTGAAAGTAAAGCCATTAATAACATTACAATCAAATATAGGTACCCTATTCTTAGAGTGGACCGTATGAATGATACATTACATTGTTCATGTGTGTTTTCCAAGATTCATCTTCATAGTAAGTACCATCAAATTAGAATAACGGGGACGAAATGAAAACAACATTTAAATTCAAGGGTGGTCTCTTTGAATAGCTTGTTATGCCATTCAACTTGTCTAATGCTCCTAGCACTTTCATGAGATTGATGAATGAAGTTCTAAAACCTCTTAATGGAAATTCGTTGTTGTCTACTTTAGTGACGTCCTTGTGTATTCAAAATCTAAAAAAGAACACTAGGATAATTTAAGGAAGGTGTTTGATTTTTTGAAGAAACATAGAACTCTATCAAATCGGAGAAAAGTGATTTCATGGTGCCTATATGGTGTTCATTGGTTTTGTGGTGTCTAAGCAAGGAATCTCTATGAATCCTTACAAGGTGGAGGCAATTAAATAGTGGTGACCTCCCTCTTCCATCACGGATGTAAGAAGTTCTTATGAATTGGCTTCCTAATGTCTTAGAAGAGGGAGTTTTACTGGTCTAATTATACCTAAAATCCATTTAAATCTTCGAAAGAAAAACTTATTTTTTCACCTGTACTGGTTATTCCCAACTTTAATGTGCTTTTTGAGTTTGAATGTGCATGCAAGCGGTGTTGGTATTGACATTGTTCTGGTACAAGAAAATAGGCATTTTTGTAAGAAGCTCAATGCATCCAATTTCAACTGAATTCTTCAAAGAAAAAAATGGCAGACGCGACAAAGAGAAGGAGGATTGTTAGTTTAAGGAGTGAAGGACAACAGAGTTTGTTGGCTTTGTTGCAATAAGAAACAACGGTGCTAGGTTGTTCAAGCCATTATTTTGTTTACGTTCCACATTGTAGCACCATGTAATGACTAAGAACTTGAGTGGTGATACTGTCATAATGATTGTTCATTCCACCATAGGTTTACCATGGTCATAATTGAGAGGGAGCCATTAGTGCATGGCTATGTTAGCATGGTTCAATAAGGTCTTTGGTCTACCTTCCACTCCAGCAGGATAATCAAACAGTTATTTGTTCTCACAGTTTCTTCTGTGTTTTTTGGATGATTTATTCAAGAGAAACTACATTACAAATTCTGCCTAAAAATAAACCAACCGAACAGGGTATATCCTGTTCCCAGGGGTATTGTCCTTTGCCCTTGGTACAAGTGAATGAAAGAAACTTCATATCTTAAACATTTATTTCATTAGAATAGAGTTATTACAGCAGCGGAA